TGATTTGATTTGCTTAGTGAACGCATATCCTTTTTTAGATGAATTTTCTGAATGTTCTGCTTGTGTTGATCTGGAGTTCTACTTCTTAGTTTCAGCCTAAGCACCCAAGGTTGGAACTTTCTTCTCATTCATTAATTTCCGAAAAAAGTCATGAATTCTTTATTCATTAAAGGGTTAGAATTCGGTAGCATCACAAAAGAGATTAGGAGCTTGTTTTAAGTCTTCATAAAAACGGTGTCACTTTGTAGTTCACTTCAAGTATTTATGGTGAAACTATAAAAACTAGTAAATATCTTTGAACTTCAAAATCAATAGTGTAGGGTGAAGAGAACCATAAGATAGCGTTATGACAGGAGAGGATGGAAAATTAATTTCTCTATCACCTAATTTTCTTTTTGACAAGGACGAAGATGATAAAGTCACATGGTTAGGAATCAACATTTGAAAATTATCAATTGCAAGTGAGATTAAAAATTATCATTGGATATCATGTTACATTTGGGGTTTTAAGGTTTTGAGAGATAAAAAAAAAAAAAGAACTGAGATTTATGTAGTCGTGCTTGATCGAAATAAAAGGAGAGAGATAAATGGTCTATTTATATATTTAGAAAATTTATTATTAATAATAATTATTAGTATTATTATCATCATCATCAATTTCATTTAATCAATTTCAATTATTATTTTTATTTTTCAAAAATATTTCCACATGTCAATTTTTATATGACATATCATTACATGATTCACTTTCACTGACATATAATTCCATTTGTTTGTTGTTGTCAGTAAATTAGACGGAATTCCATCGCAAAGGCCATATTAAAAAATCTTAAGATTAAAAGGTTCTACCAAACAAAAGGATCAAATTAAGAAAATCTTAAAAGTAAAGGGATAAAATATGTAATTAAACCTAAATAGATTCCTCCATGGTGGTATTTCATGTGGCACCCAGTCCATTATGTCAATCCATTATCCTATCTATTAAAAACATTTCTTGCCTATACCAAATAAGAAATTACTCTTTAAACTCATTTAATAACCATTTAACACTAGCTAAAAATAATTTGTAAAAAAGTTCATTTTAGTCTTTGTAATTTTTTAAAAAGTTATTCCAATCGTTATAACTAATATTTTTACAATATAGTCCTTTATTTATAAGTTTTTGTTTTTGTTCTCAAAATTTTCATAAAGAAACGTTTTAGCTCTATTTTATAAAACTTGTGCAATCGAGTCCTTGCATTTTAATAATTTTTTTTAAATAGTGGTATTAATAAAAAATAAAGTGAGTAGCCATTCCCAAAAGCTATATTAACAATTATGTATTTTAGCCATACTAAAAAACTATACTAGTGAGTATGTATTTTTTATTCTTACTTATCTTAATGTCTCTTGAATATTTTTAACGAATATTTATTATGATAGATAAAGTGGATACTAGTTTTATACTTTGTCCATTGCCATCCATACCTACATTTAAAAGAGACAATTACACTATAAGTACAAAATCTTCAACCTTTTCTCAATCAAATATATAAACTTTATTTTTTTTCATTTGAGCATATTAACTTTTTCAAAACAATCAATCAAGTTCTCTTGTCAATATTTTTTTTGTTAATTGATGACTTACGTATTATCTTTAAAATACCAAGTTACAATTTTATCTTTTTTTCTCAATGGAATACATGAATTTTAATTTTTTCAACTTGAATACACTAAATTTTTGCAAAACTACTAATCAAGTACTTCCGTTAATTTCTCTATCAATTCTCTATTAATTGATAACATGTCCGAATACCAAAGTATGTTTTCTTCTTTTTCTTTTTAGGAAAATATCCTTAAATTACTATATCATTTTAATGTTTGATAAAGAATTAAAAAAAAAATACTTTTAGTTATAAAATCTCGAATCAAACTTAGTTAGGCTTGCGGTTAAAAAAAATCAATTAGGTCCTGGACGTGAAAATTGATAAAAACACAAACGTAAGACTTTTTGGTCAAGAATATTCATTTGTGTTTTCTTTAATTTTTACTTTTAAACATAATTGAGTTTTTTATTTAATTTTTTTAAAAACAACATAATTGAGTTTAGTTTGAAATTTTATAGATAAAAAATAATATTTTTAATTATTTATCAAATTTTAAAATGATAAAATAATTTAGGAAGAAAGTTTCCTTGAACAAAAAGAAGATAAATTTATAATTTTATATTCAAACATATCATCAATGAACAAAAAAATTGATAAAAGTATTTGGTTGATAATTTTGAAAAACTTGATGTACTAAAATAATAATAACAAAGTTCATCTATTTGATTGAAAAAAGAGTAAAATTGTAATTTGATAATTTAAGAATAACAAACACATCATCAGTTAATGAAAAAATTGACAAAAGTACTTGATTTGTAATTTTAAAAAAATTAAAATACTCAAACGAAAAAAATTAAAGTTTATATGCTTGATTGCAAAAAGATTAAAAATTAATGTACTTATAATATAATTATCCAATATTTAAAATAGCATGAAAAAGGATGGGCTCCTTTTTTTTTTTTTTTTATAAAAAAATAAAAGCTCTTAAATATTTAACGCTCTCTGCCTCCAAAAAAAAAAAAAAAAAAAAGAAGAGGACTTTATATAGATTGACACATATTAAGAAAGTTATTAATTGTTATGTTATATTAATTCTTTTGTTCTTAATTTTATAAAATACTATTTTTTTTAAATATATTACTTAAAATTTTATTAGAATACTTTTTAAAAAAAATTATTATTATTATTATTATTTATTTATTATTATTATTATTTTTTGGGTGTGGGTGTAAGGACTAATCACAAGCGAAACAAAGCAAAGCCCAGCCTTTATGATTATCGTGAGTCGTCGATTAATCAATCTCCCCAACATTGAAACTACATCTATTTTTTTTCAGAGTTATTTCTCAGGTGAATCTCTCCCGTGATTTTGATGATTTCTTTTTTCTTTTTTCCCTCAAGTAATACTCTTGCAATTTTTTGTTATATCAGCAGAGAAATGAAGCAGGAGACATGCTGTACATTTCTTCTTCTTCTTATTGTTGATGTTTGTATTTGCAAAAAAGAGCATTGCCCCATTTTAACTATCAACCGATGTTATCAGAGTTATGTAAAATCAATGTTAATTTGTAGAAACAAGAAAAGGGTTTGTTCTTTTTATGCTTAAGAAGATGATGAATACAACAAGTTTCCATCTTTTTTGCACTTTCCAATTTATTTTTATTAATTGACATGATCATATACATGCGTTCTATGCTTAAAGTGTTTTCTCAGATTTGTGATTACTTGCTAATAGTATAGACATCTATCTATCTCTGTTTTATTCATTTGTGCTTGCAATCCAGGCTTTCTTGTTTAAATGTCAAGTAGCTCAAGAAGTGATGGCGACAGCTCTTTTGATGTTGAGGAACTTCTGCAGATTGGGACCAGATGCAGAGAGGTTCTTTTTCTTTTTTTTTCTTTTCCATCACCCAAAGACTATCTGTTGTTCTTTCTAAATTCTCATAGGAGTTAACTCTTCAATCATTTTACTTCTTCCATCACTGCAGCTACGAAAAGAAAAAGACGTGTTGAGAGATTCGCAACCCCAGAGCTTTGAAATGATCAGGGTGAATTTTTATTTTTTGTGAGATTGATTGTTATTCCTTTTATGCAAAATATATGTTATATGATATGTAAGCCATTACTTGTGTTCATATCATATGGTTGTGTTTTGTATAGATTTCCTGGAGTGTGATTGAGATGAATTTAGGGGGAGTGTGTTTTGTATATGTAGGCCTTGCAAAGATGCATCGTATGGAAGGATGATGCAGGAAAGCTTAGGGGGTGTTCTGGATCTGACTTTAGAGGCTGTTTAGGGCTTCATTGATGGGGATTTCTGCTGGAATGCGAGGAAGGATGTAGTATAGATTTCTAGGAGTTACACCTAGGGAAAAGAAATACCCAAGCTTTGCGCAAGGGTTCTTAAGAGTCACACCTAAGAGAGATTGAGTCACAATCAAAAGCAAATTGCTGGAATTTTATTCATAAACTGTAATCAAAATATTGAAAGACTACATGCTTATTTATAGGGTTTTAGTTGTCCGAATTCAATAAGACATGGATTCCTAAACCTCCAACATAATTATCCTATTTAGAATAGGAAAACCTAATACCTTCAAGACTAATAAATAAAATATTAAACAGAAATGAAATAAAATACCGTAATGTCTAAATTTTCCAGCAGATCCAATAATTACCAAAATACTCTTATGAACTACAAAAGTTCCCAACTAAGTTTTCTATCATTAGCCATGTGCCAAATCAATGCTTGAGCATTGGATTCCTTCTTGGAGTGCCTTCTGAAGACATTTGGGGGCTACTGCCATCCTGACCCACGAAAGGTTCATGTAGTGCTCTCTTAGATGGTTGAAGTTAAAACAACTCCACCTGCTTAAAGGTCATGTTCGATGTCTTCATTTCTAAGTTTTGGATTGTGAATCGCTTATATAACACTTCCTCTGGTCGATATCTTTTGGTCCATGCTTGGAAATCTTTTTAAGAAGACAGCATTTAATCCATTCATATTAATTGAAACTGTTTTAGTTGAGGAAAATCTACCTTCCACAAACACGGACATTTGTTCCTCTCTTGTTTAACTGGTGAGTCAGTTTCAGGATTTCAATGCCAAATCTCAAGTAAATCCTCAGGAGTTCAATGCCAAATCTAAAGTAAATCATTTTTGGTATTAATCATTAGATCTTGAAATCATCTTTATTTAGTTAGTATTTTGCAGTCTTAACCACTCACTCTTACTTTACTATTGATTGAAGAACAAGGTTTAAGAAAAAATGACCCAATAATAGAAGAAAATGCTGCAGCTTCAATCTCAGCTTATTCTCTATTCTGCTTTCTACTATGTGCTTGTAGTTGTCTCATGAAAATTGAAAAACGTAGCTAAAAGAATCAAACATGGGCAAAAAGATCTAATTTCAGATGTTGTGGATGCAGAGATTAGAACTACATGTGAAACAATTATCAGAGGCTCATAATGAAGACAAGAAACACATTCAGAAGTTGGAAAGAGAGCTGTTGAACTGCTCTCAAGAGATAGGTAATAGTCATTCCTTTTTGTTATATGTTACTCATATAATAGGTTCATGTCAAAATTAAACATTAATTGTGCAATACGCTACACTTGGTCTGTCTTAATACTAAGAATTACAATTTTAAACTTTATACTCCTTTTGTTAAGTTCATTATTGAAAATGAGAAGTTGTCATAGACAAATGATCACCTGTGTCTAAAATTCCATCAAATGATTTTCCTAGCTATGGTTCTATAGGCGGGTTTTGATATTTGTTGTGCTATATTATTACCTACCATCTACTGGTATATATTGAATGAGAATTAAATTTCTACTACTTATGCATGTCACTGATTGACCGCTATTGCCCTCTGTTCCAGACTGGATGTCCATATGATTCTTAAAAAATCCTAACCTTGAAAAAATAATACAATCGTGCAATTTTCGATAATTATAAAAACCATATCTATCATGCTGACAGGAAATTCTAATCTCTGCAGTAGGTCCCTATAATTGGAAAAAAGATGTTTGTCTTCATGTCCATATGCCAGATTCTTTAATTTGGCTTTAACCTGATCATCACATCTCTCATAGATTACTTGCAGGATCAGCTAAGTGCGAGGAATTCAGAGGTGTACACCCTAGGGGAGCATGTGCATGAGCTTGAGATGAAATTAGTAAACACGGAACATTTACAAGCAAGCATTGGCCAGTTAAGGGAGGAACTGAAAAGGTGTGATTCAGAGCACTTGTTATTGATACAGGAACTAGAGAGAAAAGAAGAAGAGTTGCAGCGGTCAGATTTGTGCATAGGGAAGCTAGAGGAATTGATTTCATCTCTAACTCTAGATTCCCAATGTGAAATAGAGAGCATGAAGCTTGATATGATAGCTTTGGAGCAGGCTTGCTTTGAAGCGAAAAAAATGCAGGAAGAAACCATCCAAGAAAATGCTAGGATGAATGGGTTCATCGAAGAACTTGAATTTAAGATTCGCGATGCAAAGGAAAATATTGAACGTATAGAAAAGGAGAACATAGAATTGAGGGAGAAACTTGTTACATCTGATGTGAACTCTAAATTATTTCCTCAGCAGATTGAGGAGTGGCTTGAAAATAAGGACGCATCACAACACAATAATCAATCATACTTGAGTGAGATAGAGTGCAAAAGTCATATGTCAAAAGAAATGAGGTAAGTGAAAAGGATTTCCATTAAATTAGTTGCATGTCATTAGATCATATTTTAATATTCTTGCATGCTATTCAATTTATGTAGCTACTTTCTTTACCAGTTTAAGAACTCTTGGATGCTAACCTCTTCCCTATGAGAATTCTGGACTCTAGTATAAAAAAGATACATCAAACAGTTTATTTTGAGAGCTTTTTCCTATGATGTGTTTAGGATGCAGTGCCTTTCTAAACAATGGACATTTCCTCAACTCTAAATTATGGCATAGAAGATAGGCATTAATTCTTCTAATACCAACTTTAATTAAGAATTTCATTGATTTTATTTTATTTTATTTATTTTGTTTTTTGGTAATACTTTTACTAATTTGTGTGAATTGCATGCAGAGAGGCCCTAGGTAGAGTCTTTTCAAAGCTTGCAACGCTATTGGGACTAGAATCAAGCAACAAGTGGATGGATAGTATGCCACATCAGATAAGCAAATATGAAGCTCTTGTGAAGCAGCTTAAGGTATTAGTTTTGACTTGTGAAGATTTATAATTATATTAAACAGTGCTAAGATGCTGATAAACTTAATTACATTTTTAAGCTGTTTCGGTACTTGCAGTGTTTTGAATTTTGTAGCTTTATGTTAGCTTGCTGAGGTTAACATGTGCATTATTACTAGGATGAATTGAGAGAGGAAAAATCAAGGGCAAAGGAAGAAGCAGATGACCTAGCACAAGAAATGGCTGAACTGAGGTACCAAATGACAGCCTTGCTTGAAGAAGAGTGCAAGCGTCGTGCTTGTATTGAAAAAGCATCTTTGCAGAGAATATCCGAATTAGAGGCACAGGTATTGATGTTTGATTTGCAGTCATCATGTTAGGTAATAGAGGCTTACTTATTTCTAAAGGTCTTTCTTGCTTTTCTGAGTAAGATTGAAAGAGAGCGGAGGAAATTTTTTGCTGCTGCCAGGCATCTCCATGAAGCATAGGCATTAACTTCATGAAGAACTGTGGACATCCATTAATTGGAAACAAGGGCCGAGGTTTGCACAAGGGCCGAGGTTTGTGTCTATCTAATCCTTCCTTTTCCATTCTCTGCATGTATTATTGCATCTAAGATGCTGTCGTACACTGTGTTGGCATGATAGCATTTATTATTATTCTGTGACCCCTGAGGATGTTGTTTGATGTATTTTGTTTGTTTTATAATGTCAACATTTGGCTCTTTGTGATTGCTGCCTGAGATATAAATCAACTACAGGGTTCAGTATATGATAGCGAGCATGTGAAAAATGTATTAACCATACGCGCTTCACTCATCAATGATATAGAAAGATATCCATTTAGGTGCTATTATTTCATATGGGTAGCATGTAATAGAATGTCTCCAGCATTTTAGCATTTCATTGCATACTTACACGGAGAATGCTGATTGAACCTCAAATGATAACTGGCTAAATTGTAGTTAGTATGTAATTTCACATCTAGGATTTTCATCCTGCTCTCTTTGCTGACTTAATGCTTGAGAAGAACGTGCAATGAAATATTTTCATAAAAAATTGCTATTCAGGGTTCATTTACACCATATCTGTTTCACACATCAGCATCTGCTGAAGGTTATATTGTTTTACGGAACTTGTTTGGCACATGTCTTCACTATGCAAAATGCAATGGGTGGAGGGTTCCAGCAACGGCTACTATGGCCACAAATTCAGCTGTCCAAACAGCTAATTCTCATCAACTGAAGAACTATAAAGATCATATATCATATACTCGGAAGTGGGACCATTGCTTAGAAAAATGGTAGTCATCTTAAGCTTTCAACCATAGGGGTGCTCGTTCAAGTTTTTTGATTCATGCATAAATGCTGTAGGTATTGATTATCCCTAAATTCTCTCTACTGGCATTCTGCCATGGTCGGATCATAACCTTTCTCTAGCATTGAAGGAAAAAAAAAAAAAAAAATAGAAACAAGATTGCAGCTGTTTTCTTATTTGATTTAAGCTTCTGTGGAAGAGCTAGTGACTTTGTCTCCAATTTATGCAAGCCAAAGAAGTGTGTCCAACTGGTAGGGTTTCTTCCATGACAGGTCAAGCCTTCATTTTATCTTCTCTCTACTATCGTTAATCTGGTTGAAATACTTAGCAGCCATCTATTGAGCTTAACTCAAAAGAAACTCTAGCCTCAACTACTTCTGGCTGCCTTCATGAATTAAGTGAATCTAATCACAATTAGAGATATAGTGATAAATACAGAATGAATTAACTAATAAATCACCAATCACAAGCTGCCACATCATTCAGTAAAGAATTAAGTATTCCTAGCATCTCTTTTTACTGTATCTGCGCATGAAACTCACTCAAAATTCTTTCCACTAATTTATCAACACCTCAACTGCTGCATGTTGGGTTTTACTATTATTGATTGATGATATTGTATGCTTTTGTGCAGGATGATTTTGGACATTTCTGATAGAAACACGTCCAAGTCTGTACAGTATGAAATCTCAGGAAACATGCCTGTACATTTCAGTGACAAACATTTTAGAAGCCAAATTTTGTGAATTTTGTTTATGATGGTTCAGTAGATTACAGGATAGCTATATTTGTGAAGGAAATGATATTTATAATTACAAATGATGGGCTATGAGCAACATTTACTTCGTTGCCTCTTTTTTTCCCCCTCTCTCTTGTGTGTGTGATGAATGCAACAATGGACGATATTCTGCACCGCGTTTGAGTGGGACGCTGTATAGATTAAATCCGAGTAACCAATCCATGTGGATGAAATCTGAATGCATAGGGCAGAAAGTGTGTTTTTTCCATTTGTTTTATTGTATATCACTTTGTGGTTTGGGATGTTTTGATTAATCTGGCAATCAACCAGAAATCTGATTGGTGTTTCATTTGAATTTTCTAGCTGCGTCGCATTGTTGTTTCATGATGGGATAGTTTTAGTATGTGCAATTAGTCTCGTCTCCGTTTTGTTCTATTTCCACCTTCCTACTAAATGAATAAAACTGAAGGCATCTAGAAACTAGATTTTATTATCTGTGTGAATGCATCGTGGGTAAGGTTCTTCTTACTGGTTAAGGCATTTGGTCTTTCCTCGAAGTTTCTTTTGAGAAAGGTGGCATTCTTGGTTGGACAAATTCTTAAATAGCTTCCAAACCAAAGACGGCCTTTCTTATCCCGAGGGACACGAATGAGCATGTTTTGGCGAGACATCGTTATCCTCTGTTTTCCTAAAATTATAGGCCAGACAGGGGGCAACGTGGAAGTAGTTGTTGGGTGGAAAATTTTATAATACACATGGAGTAACTCAGTAGCATGTACGGTAGCTTACTCATTAGTATCCACTTTGAGAGAGAGATAGACATAAAAAAGAGAAAAATTACATCTATACTCATCAAAAGTGATAAGAAGATTTTCACGTCCGCTTAAATTTTTTTATTTTCTCTCTCCTATTTCTCTCTCTCTCTCTTTTTGTGTGTCTATCTCTCTCATCAAAGTGGATCCGGGAGTAACTATTGTACATGCCACTAGTTACTCCTTATGTATTATAAAATTTCTCGTTGTTGGGATATTAGTTTCCTCTGCGTCCGAATAAGTGCACAAGTTTCTTTCGATTTTCTCTTTTAAGAGTTCCCTGTCTCTCCTTATAGATTTAATTACTTCTAATTTATCCAATCTGATTTATTTGAAAAATTGAATTTTAACACCATCATGTGATATGATATTTTTGTCACTCTTGGATTATAATATCTATTATGAGGATAGATTGGAGAGACAATGACTTAAAATACAAGAACCAATTAGGAGTGATTGGATTTTTAGGTTACATATATGAAGTTAAGTCTAAAATATATGTAGGAATTCGGCACAATAAATTGATTGTAATTGATCTCTCATATTCCAGAGGAGATATCATAATTAAGACTTGGAGGGTTTTTTTTTTTTTTTTTGGTTAAATAAATCTAACCACTTCTGAACTTTTAATTCATTTAAGGTTGAATGTCTAAACTTCAAAGTTGGTTTTGAAAATTTCTGAACTTTAAACTTTTTAAAATTAAGTCCATTTGTTATTTTTTTTAATAAGAAATAATAGAAAATGCATACGTATAAATAATAATTATAAACACACCACAACAACAAATTATCAAACACTCATCTTATAAAAATATATACAACACAATAATATCAAATACATTCTATAATTTGAACTAGTTGGCTTCCCGCGCTATGCAACAGAATAAGCTAAATATGTTTATTTCAATTTAATAGCTCGTATTATACTATTAATCTACTAAAATATATTTAATTAAAGGTAAAAAATAAAATTTCATCTGATTTCATAATTTTTAATCAAATTTTGTATTTCATTCATTCATTCTTCTTTATTTTTTTCATAGATTTTGTTGTTAAAAAAACACAATTCATCATTCGTCATGCTTTCGTTTTTAAATAAAAACCCGTAATAATATAAATAAAAATATAAAATTTCATAATTTTTAATCAAAATTTGTATTTCATTCATTCTTCTATATTTTTTTTTCATAGATTTTATTGTTAAAAAAACACAATTCATCATTTGTTATGCTTTCTTTTTTAAATAAAAACTTATAATAATATAAATAACAAATTTTAAAAATATCTTAATATTTTTTTTCATAAAATTGCTTCAAAAAGTAAAGCAACAATCAATATAATTTTTTTATATAAAAATTAACTAACAAATATCTTTGAACTTTTTTAAAATATTTAAATTTGATATATATATAATGACAATATTCAGTGGGTCAAAGTACGTATCATAAATCAAAAATATTTTTTTAAAAAAATTAAATTATGAGAAATGTATTGAAGTTAATGGAATATAATAAAAGTAATTAAAAAATTTATTCAAGATTTTTTTTATTATATTAAGAATAAGTCAAAGAAACATGTAATAATATTTTAGATTATATTAAGAATAAACCAGAGGATACCTTGCCTTGCCTAGGGAGCCATGTTTTTGAAATGGTAAAACTGAAAAGGCCGTAATAATAATAGAAAATGAAAAGAAAATAGGAGAGAAGAATAATAGTCAAAATAAGACCAATTCTGAACTCGCATAGTAGACTAGACCGTTGCTTGTGCAGTTAAATCTTCGTTTTCTTCTTAATTGTTTTTATTAGTCTTCGCCAGTTTCTGTCTATTGGCAATTGGCAATTGGCAATTGGCAATGCACGACACTTCGCTCCGCGTTGAAATTGTTGTCTCTTTATAAAAACAAGAACAGATACTTTGGATTTCCCTTCTCCTCCCAATAACTGCTACCTCCTCCTGCTTCAATCTATCAGGTTCAGATTCCTTCTTCCTACTGCTTTTAATTTATATGGGTTTTCTTGTTTTCTTTTATTTTCTTTTGATCCTTTCTTTCTGGGTTTGATTTTCTTTTAATAAAAACACCCTTTTGTTTCTACTTTCTTTCTTTCCTTTCCTTTTGGCTTCTTAACGAAAGTAAATAAATTTTTTATTTTTTATTATGCTGTGATCTAAATGTACAAGTCCTAGTTGACGGAGAATTGTTTCTGCTACAAAGTTGCTTGGTTGCTTGTGATAGCTTTTTATTCTCCAGTTTTGACTTTTATTAAACTCAAAAACTCAAGTTTCTTTTCTTTTGGGTTCTTTCAATCGAATTTAAATACTATTCATCTTCTTTTTCTATGTTATAATTGCTATTGCAACGCATCTAAATGGCAATGGAGGATTAGGTGGGTGAGATGACTCCGTAAATCAAACCAGGTCTTTATTTCGTGTTCAACTAGTTGTTGTTTATGGTTGATGATTTTTTTTTTTTTTTTTTTAACTGGTTATATAAACCCTTTCTTGAATACCTTCTTTATTGTGATACGTTTTACTCTCCTGTTGTCATTTTTATTGAACTCAAAATTTCATGTGCTTAAATTGAACTTCACTGGAGTTTCATGATTCCCTTCTGTGTTGAAACCTGTAATTTTACAGCTATCACAATCTCACATGTATTTTGTTTCTTCATTTTATGCAGGAATCTTAATTGATTGCTTATCATCTCCCTTATTAAACTCTTCCTTGCTCTTATTCACACAATGTTTGGTTCAAAGAAATCTCCTTTGAAGATTTCTAAGCATAACAAGGTTGACCCTCAATGTCCTGCTCCTCCTCGGTCAAACCCGTTTGATTCTGACGATGAGTTTGACACTAAGAAAACCCTTAAACCACCAAGAAAAACTTCTTCTGAACCCAATCTAACTGCACCCAATTTTAGCACCAATCCTTTTGACGATGACGAGGAAAGAGGGACGTCTTCTTCATCTACATATTCCCTTGCTTCAGCGGCAAGACATAATTACAAGAATGATTTCCGTGATTCAGGAGGACTAGAGAACCAATCTGTTCAAGAATTGGAGAATTATGCTGTTTACAAGGCTGAGGACACCACAAAAACAGTAAATGGCTGCTTGAAGATTGCTGAAGAAATGAGAGAGGGTGCAACAAGAACTTTGATCACCTTGCATCAACAGGGTGAGCAAATTACCAAGACCCATGATGTTGCTGTCGAGATCGATCACGATCTTAGTCGGGTATGACTTAGTTTGAACTCTGACTTTAGGTTCATGAATTTAATGCATCATACTTAGGCTTTCTCATCTAATGAGATGGGCTAGTACACAACCGTTGTTAACACTAATCTTGAAATGGTGTTCGGAATTTTCCTATTGCATATTCAGTTCAATTATTTTGGGAGCACCATCCTGTTTGATGAGTTTGTAATGACATGATCATCTTTTGCACACTGCATGGATTTTACGTTACTCGTTTAGATTGACCTCTGGGATTACGGTTACCGGGGGAGGGGGAGGGGGTTGGGGTGAGAGGAACAGAGGTGCCATGGCCCACCATCGCCCCCTTATCCCCCACACCACCTCCCAAACACAGCAGTGCACTGGAAAAATCATTGTTTAAATTTGTTAAGACTTCAGGCCAGAATATTAGTTTAGTTTGTGTGCCCTTGCGATAACTTGATTTTTTTTTTCTTCCTAACTTATAGTTCTTTGTTGATGTTATCGAGTAAAAGGAATTTCATTGTTGTTTCTGTTTTCAGGGTGAGAAGCTTTTGGGAAGTCTTGGAGGCATGTTCTCTAAAACTTGGAAGCCGAAAAAGAATCGTCCAATTAAGGGCCCTGTTATCACAAGAGGTTACTTTCTGTCCCTGCTTGCTGTGATCCACTTATTTGTCAAATTTTTTTCTTCAAAACTTTATATTATATTAGGGTACCTATTATTGTTTGTTTGCTTATTTTTCTTTCTATGGGACATACTTTTTTCTGTTTTTTCTTTACTCTTTTTTATTTAATTTTTTATTGGCATCCTAAAAGTTAATTTAAAAATGAAAAAGCTCCCCTAGGAAGAACAGTGCGGATGATGGGGATGCCCTTTTACAATGTAGAGTAGGAGGAAAGGCTCGAAAGCATGAAGTTGAAATAATCTAAAATTCTCAGAATTCTTCTTCTTCTTCTTTTTTGTTCTTTCAACATATTTGTGGTTTGCTATGTTTTGCAGATGCTTCACCTCAAAGGAGAGGTAACCAATTGGAGCAGAGGGAGAAGTTGGGGTTGAATCATGCATCGAAGGGACGATCCAGCACACAAACACCCCTTCCTGTGCCAACCAATGCATTTCAGAAAGTTGAGGTTTGTTTTTATCTTGTGATATACTCATTATTCATAGCAAACAAAAAGGTATACTGATATGTGGCTGCAGAACAGAAAATTAAAAAAAAAAAAATGATAATAGATGAAATTCTCTTGGTACTATGAACTCTGTATATGTTCTCCTTTCTTGTTTCCCCCTTTCCATCTGGTGGCGGGGCTGTGACAGAGACCTTTGTCCTATACTTTCAAACTTGAGATCCAATGCACTATTTTTTTCCCTTCTAGATGAATTTAGGGTTTCCACTTTCCATCAATCTTTTTCACTTTGTTTCCTGAAGGGGTATATAGAAATTAGAAAATTAGATCAGAAGGACAGACTTTTAGTACCCCAGCCACCAAGTCATTTGTTCATTCTGGTTTTTGTTTTTTTTCAATGTACATTTTGGACTTTGGAACAAGTATCTGCTATTTGAGTTTACTTGTCTTCCATTATTTAGGACAATCAATTTGTTCATTTTGGGTTTCTGTTTATCAATGTACAAGAACTAAAGTCTGCTATGAGTTTATGCTATTTCAATCTAACCATTACTGATTGTTTGGGATCCTTCTGGAACAGTTAGAGAAGTCAAAGCAAGATGATGCGCTGTCTGATTTGAGTAATATATTAGGAGAGTTGAAGAATATGGCCGTTGACATGGGGACTGAAATTGACAGGTGAGTTTTTTTAAACGATAGCATTTGTTGATTTGGTGCAAATGTTTGCTTATTCTTTTTCGTCTCTCTCCCATTGTGATTATCTGAGTACTTCGGCTCTCTGATTGTCAAAAAGGATGTCAAAATGCTTTGTTTAAGAAATTATGTCACTTGAAAAAGGAATATTCCTTCTGTAATTGTGATCCTTCTGTGATAATTGCAGTCAAACCAACAGCCTGGATCATCTCCAGGATGATGTGGATGAGCTAAATTTCCGCGTTCGGGGTGCTAATCAACGTGGTCGTCATCTGCTTGGAAAGTAGAGGAGGATAGGTTGTGATCTGCTGTTGTTGGTTTCCCTCCTTTTAACTGTTGTTCTTTCTGCATGTATAAATTTGGAATTTAGATATTCTGCAATTTTTTTGTATTTCCTACACATTTGGGATTTGGCATTATGTCCCAGGATACTGCTGTTCCCCAACGCATTTTTCATGGCAATTTGGAACCAGTACTTTTTTTTTTTCTGTTATCTGCTTAAGTTTCTGAAGCAAATACTAACATCTGAGGAAGAAAGACCAAAGCTAATATTTGGCTAACGTGCAATAATATTTGATCCATTGCTGTAACTTTCCTCTATCGCTCGTCAGTAGGAGGAAAATTACGTATCCGTATTGGATATGAATGGCTCTGGCTATTGAACAAGCAAATAGCAAGCAATACATGCCCTGCCTGTTCATCCGCGGATGGATAATCACAAACTTTCAATCCTTTAAAGTTCCACGAGTGAATGCACTGTAGGAGGAAATGGATCCAAAAGGATTTTCTATTGAGAAGTGACTCGTTGCTTCTACTGGGCAAAACCCATGACTTTTGTGACGATAATTTCAGCAAGCAGAGCTGTTGTGCTGTTGTTGAAGCAAGAGATTAGATGACCAAAAAGAAGCTATACAACATAAGATAAAAACTTTACATAGACCATGCTCATCTTGAAGAGAAGAGAAGAGAGAAGAGCGTTGCTATTGCTTGATGCCAAAAATCACATACCACATAATAAGGTTGCATTTGATTCGGAGTTAAAAATTGAATAGTAAGTGTTAATGATATAAAATAATGTCTAAAGGGTGAAGTGCTAAGCATGTTTGGAAAATGTATACAAATTAAATATAATAAAATATATATTCTTGTGGGGGAATGTATAGAAGAAAAAAGAAAAAGAAAGTAATGCTGAGTTTGAAAAAAATAAAAATAAAAAGCACAAATCCTAAAAATTTTACCCCCTTAACATTTATTTCCGTTGAATGCATGCAAAGATGTGTGGGAAAAGATCATCATATGCAAATGCAAAATCCATGGCTCAAGAAATGGAGAAAGTGGAGCAGCAGAACCAGCGATGACTAGAAGAGCAAATGGTGCATTATTGGTTTCTTTCGAGTCACTGTCTCGTGCTTGGTTCTTCGGTCTTTTTTTTTTTTAATGGGACAATTGTGGTGGTGAAATATATGCAAGAAATAATTTATGCTCAAAAAGAAAAGTTGAAAACATTAAGCGACTTATTCTGATATTATTCAACTTATGAACAATTCATCTTATCTTTTCCCCCATACAAACATTATTGCACAAACTATATATCACCTGCGACAATTACAATTGATAAAAATTACAATTACCTTGAACTCACTTCCCTGCAATCTCATACACAGCAAGGTGCAGTTTATTGCTTGAGTTGTGCTTCAAAGATTTATGCACAAGCTGGAGCATCAAAGTTTGGGAATACTATGAATGAAATCGAAAAAGGATTGATATATAATGGAGAATTCACATTCAGACGGACAGGGTCCAATTTCGGAATGTTTCCTTCTTCTGTAAGCTCTAATGGGATTCCATTAAGAACCATGGTTCGGCTTTGAAGGTTCCCATCTTTTGCAGTTAAATGGTACTCCTCTCTATATAATGGTTCATCTGATGCTCGGCTTCCAACCCATGAAACTGATCTCTTAAGGCCCTGCACGAAAAAGTTTTCTCCAGAAATGTTTTCTTCCACATGCAATCTCATGTCCATGCTGTTTTGAACACTGATTATGAAATCAGTCTGATTGCTTAAATTGATCAGCAGTAACGTTATACCTGCCTGTAACAAGATGGAAATATTAAATGCAGAAAAGAAATTTTCGTAGATAATCAAGTAGAACCATTGTATTTTTAAGCAAGTTTACTGTATGTTTGAGGCATGAAAAGATGACCGTTGCACAAAGAGTAGGGCTACATATGCATGCACAAGTATATATAAATCACTTGCACCATTGCATGAGAACAGCAAACTTCTAATGTCCTAGATATGGGGGAAATTCAGTCTGAAATAATGAAAGCTACTTGTGGTTTGATGACTGTGTTCATGTACGTGTTAAGAGGATTCAATCAAAAGCCCATATTCTGAGAAATTAATACCAAAAGCGACAAAAATAGAATGACAGGAAATTTGACTTACAGACAAAATCCAGTAATTTCAGCACCTAGATGGACCTTTTTCCATCATATAGGCCATATAAAATTTTGAGACCTCTAGGTAATTTTTCACAAACAAAATTACCCTCTCCAGATATTGAGTGGAAGGTGAAGAGGAAGGCCATGAAAAAAAAGAAACAAGTTCTAGTTCACAAAGCTTCTCAATCTTTCTTCTTTTTTCCTCTATATAAAAGACTGCATATTGCACATGACATTATGTAGGCCTTCCATGTTATGTAAAATTGTGCATTACATGGAAAGCAAGCCGGAAGATGCATGCCATGTACACTGTCCAAATTTGGGTTTGATCTCAAAAGATTAAAAGCAGAAGTTCACAAAATCACACAATACAACAACCGGAATGAAGAAAAAAAAAAAAAAAGAAATTTGGGGCAGATTTAACTATTTCAGAAAGTTAAGCTTCATTCACCAATGTTAGCAGCTTACCGAAGTCTCAGTGAATATGTCATTAACAGAACTCACAACTGTACAAAAGTTAAGTGTTTTATACCACATTTATCTTAAGCCTCTATCATGCTCCAACGAAGACTAAATTAAAAAATGGAACACTTCATATCACACTTGTCTTAACTTTCCTACAAATGCTCATTATTCTATCATCACAAACACTTGGTTGTCAAGTTAAAAAAACAAAAGTGGCTTACTCTTCCTTTCAAACAATGGGCATAAGAGCGTAGAAATGGTGAAGCATTGCTTCCTACAGCTAAAACACCTTTCCCCATTAGTCGATGCCATAGAAGGGCGCTGTTTTAAACCAAATATCCAAGAAAAGAAACTTCAGATTAGATTGATGGTAGAGAAATAATTACTTCATTTTTTTCCTTTCAAATTCTCTCCCCACAACAAGAAAAAATATTATTATTCGAATAAGACTTAAAAGGAGTTTTGTGCCCTTGCCTGTAGTAGTCAGGATTGGGGACAAGTGTGGTTGTGTTGAGGAGACCATAGTTGCCACCAATAAGTGTCTGCCTGCAATATACCTTTGTATTATACCTGGATGCCATTCCAAGCTGATCTAAGTACCTGATATTCATAAGAAAACCCTACGGAAATGGAGTCATCTGTCTTTGGTAAAAAAGCGCGATAACTACCAGAATAAAAAGATAAAAAGAACAGGAATTCAATAAAAAGAATGGAAGAAATAGGCAAGTAAGATTTACCAGAAGCTGTTCACAAATGTGTCAGAAACATGACGACCACCACTGTTATAGGCCCCACCAGATTCCCCAACCCAAGCAGAAGCCCAAGGACCATTCTGTTGAATCGTTTGTGAAAGATGACTGAAGGTTTCTGATACCTTGCTCAAATAATGGGGATCCAATATTTTACTCACAAGGTTGGGATCCATGCCTGGAACGGGAAAATGAATGGTAAATTTACAAGGAGAGAGAACTCTCTCTCTCTCTCTCTCTCTCTCTCTCACACACACAAACACACACACAAAAGTCAAATATGATTCTAGAAGACTTCCCAAGTCAGTTCACTGGTATTTGCTGACCTAAACCATCTGATAATTATAATTATCATAAAAGGGAAGAAGAAGTGAAGTAAGAAGTTCTGAAAACATAACGGACAGGTTTCTTCTCTAGGTTAATTCATAAGGGCAGCAATAGCACACTGAAACTAGAATGTTAGCCTTTAATGACATTATAAGCATATGTCAGTGCAATTAAACCACGGTAGCCCACCTGCGCCCAAGTTGTATATATGATGTGTTACAAAGTTGACTATGCCTGATCCTGAAACCTGAAGAAACTTAGCATACCACTGCTTGTCAAAAACCCTCCCGGTGCTACAAGTGAAGGTTTCAGATCAGAGTTTTTATACATATTGTTGACAAGATCTTTAAGGTTGATCAAATCTTTCCCATAAAGCTCAGCACTCACACTTGCACTTACACCACTTCCACTCAGCTCATTACCTATCATAACGAAGACAGTACCAGCAGTGAGGAAAAGCATATGGAATCTAAACAATAAAGAGCATCGTCAAAGTCTATACCATATTCCCAAGAATCTATCCTGTATCCTTTTGAGACAGTGTAGTTCATGAAATCACGAGCATTACTAGAATCCCAAGCTCCTCCCCAGACACCCTTCCTAATCTGGTGTCTTCCATAGAGGGCATTCAAGCCAAATGTCACGATGGCCCTGCAAATGCATGATTCTAGGGATAAGTGCCTTACAATGAAGCACCTCAGCCTTGTCTCTTCCAAAGCCAAAATTTCATGGCAAGAAGTAATGCTTGATTGAACTTGAATATGTAACATAACTGGAATAGCATGTTATCAGAATAGATCTGAATGACAGAAAGGATTAGGACATAACTTGTAAATTAGACTGAAATGCTTAATTTGGAAAGAAACAAACAAATGGAAAGCTTGGCAGCCGGCACTGCTACATGGCTCACAAGAATGACATTTACACATCTATTAGAGGGATTTCTTACTTGACGTAAATTCTATGTTGAAGATTTGAAGCAATCTAAATCCACAAGAATGCCTTCAATTTAAACGTTTAAAATTTATCCAAACAGCCAACTCTGAGCTTCAGAATGCAGCTGTCAAGCATTAAAGACTTAGAATCTACCTTCTAAAGGATACTTTTGTTTGACATGTTATGTTTTATTTATTTATTTTATATATGAGACAGATATTAAGTTAGGATGAACAATTTGAGCAATAAAGTTGTGCCTTAATTAGACAAGAGTTGGTTTAATGGACTATTTAGCTACCTTTGGTGCAATGGTAAGAAAGGGAGGAAATTTATATAAGAAAAGGAAAGAAAGAAAAGGGAGCAGCCAAGCATAAAATCTCACCCAGTTCTACTGAATAAATGGTTCAGTTCATCCCACCGGTTCATGTGTAAACAGCCCTTTGAAAAACCAAATAGCCCACCTTTCATTTTTCTAAATGGATGGCAAGGAGCTTTCAAACTTTCAACATCATACAATACTTGGTCTTGCAAAGAACCTCCAATTCTTATTCTCAAATTCCTGAAGGCTATATATATAGCCACAAAGAAAGCTGTATCATTTTTAGACTAGCAATATTTCAACACACTGCTATTACATAAGATGAACGTTTTTCATCATCATTCATCAAGCTTATATTTTTCAAGAATGATACGAACCTTGGATTGCTTTGGCAAGAAGAGGATGAGATAAGTCCTGAAAATACAAAACAAAACTAGGCAATTATTAAATATACCTCGAAAAAAGAAAGCAAATTTAACCCTTCAAAAGCTTCTTCAATTATAATTTCCAGATAATTACCAAGTTTGTTACAGATGAATAGCCCCATGGACATTGGTTGTAATTACACTTATCATGCGGCCACCAATCAAGAGTAGCACAAACAAAATTATCATCGGTTACAGCAACTGCAGTAGTTCCATCAACAGAAATTGTAGCGTGCCTAACTTGTTGGGCCAAAATCACAGGGAAAGAAGCCAAAAACAAAAACAGGGAGAAGCTAAATCCCATTGGTTGATTATTGATAAGAGCCTCACCACCTCAACTTATTCAAGATGAACTGCACTAAAAAAAAGAGCTTATTTTCACCATGGCCTGCCTATATCTGATGTTAATAACTCATCAGAAATTTGAATGTTATTGAAGCATGCATAAATTAAGCTTAAAAGATGCTTTGGGGGGGGGGGGGGGTGTGAAGCAATTGTAAAATCAGTGATAACAGGTTTCGGATTTAGAATCTTGGGGACAAAAATTTCATGGAGTAGAAATCATTTTGTTGCCATTATCATTAAATTACTTGATTTGAAAATGAAAGAAAAAGATGTAGAGCAAAGCAAATAACATAAAAGAATGAAAACAACAGACATCATGATATAAGTGCATTTGTTTCCAGCTACTAGAGACAAGGAATGACATCAGCAATACTGTTTCCATCTGTAAAAGACCATCAGATCTATAAACTCAAAGTAAATATTTTGATTTTTGTAAATCAATATGACAAGAGAAACAATAAACTAAATAAAGGGTAGCAAGCAACTAGAATTTTCTGAAAAAAGCAGAACAAGCAGTAGAAGCAACCTAGATGGAGAAGGGAACTAACCTCAAAAGCCAAGAATCTACCCAGTGAAGGAAATTAACAGTCTTGTCTAATACAAGAAGCTAGATAAAGCGAAGCAATAGTGCATGGAACGGTTGGCGCTTGTCCTTGGAGATTGGAGAGACATGACATGGTATGAGTTACTTACTCCTGCTGGCTGTTACTCTACTGTCCGTAGCACCAACTTTACCAAGCGCGGGGTAGGTAGGAATGTGGATGGGAAGGCTCCTTTTTTTTTTTTCAATGGACAGGTGGCAGCTTCTTAGCCTTAACTGCAAGTTATGGCATCCGCCAAATCATTCTTTTCTACCGTGCAAGACGAGTAAATTATAAATTAGTCCCTCTCGTTTTTTTCTTTAAAGGAATTAAATAATCTTTTTAGTTTCGGTAACTAATTAATTAGTTTTACATTTTTATGTTTATTTGTAATTTAATCATTGTTATTTTTCTAATTTCTTAATAAATAAAAAAGGCAATAATAATGAAAAGATTTATAAAAAAAAATTATAACAAAATAATATTAGAAGAGGTTTAGTCAACACCGATGAAGAAAATAATTAATTAGTTTTTTAAAACAAAAATAATTATTGAATTTATTTTACAACCATATGGATTAATTTATAATTGACTCAAATGAAATGTCCATTTTCAACATCATTCTCCACATTTATTTACTCTTGTTTTTTTTTTTTAATGAATTATATGATATAATGTAATGTAATTAATCATGTAATATAATAAAAATTAAATTAAATAGAATGAGATGATTCATTTTATTTCTTTATTTTCTTTGGTTGTATTTTTTTTTCACTAATGTAAATTTTTTATGAAGAAATTGACAATAAAGCTTGCAAAAAATCTTCTAACTCCTATCTTTGTCTGCAACCATAATGAAATGAAAAAATAAAAGAAGAAGAAGTCATTTTCATCTTCTCTTTCCCTTGTCTCTTCTTTTCTTTAATTCTAAACTTGTTTCATGTAATTAGAAAAATTGAAATTATTTTCGTGCATATATGTCTCTTATTATAATCATTGTTTTTATATTTGTTTGTATATGTTTTTGTTTTACAAGCATAAGAAAAAAAGTCAGTAAATTTCAAAAAAGGTTATAGCAAAAGTCTTTTTTTCCTCATACATAATTCAACATTAAAAGGTAGTTTCACATATTGATGCCTATTTTTTCTTACTATTCTCTCGTTTGTTTGGTTTTGGTATTCATCAAGAAGCATTTTACATGAGTATATAGCTAGTTTAATGACAAAAATTACTCCTAAATTATTGGAGTTATGACAATTTAAGATCTTCGCTATCAATTTGGATTATTTGGATTCCAAACTATTATTTCATAAAAAAAATATTATTATTTCTCGCTTATCCTAGACAGTTAAACGTTGACTAATAAATTAAAAGTACTATAAATTCCAACCTTTCTTTTAGGATTTTTAAGGAATGTTAGGATGTTATGACAATGATTGTGACACTTCGACATGTTGTTATTATTATTATTATTATTCCTTTTTCTCTACACCTTTACACTGTATTTTCTTATCCTCTTCTTTTTTCAATCTTGCACGCATCTTCATGACCTAGAAACGAAAGATGGTTAGTAATCTTGTTCTTGGCCAGTACTTTTTTCATTCACAAGACCAATAAAATACTAACAAGATTTGATAAATCTTTCTTTTGAGTACAATTCATTAACATACACTTCAATTCTCCACTCTTTCAACTTAATAACAACTAGTGCATGCTCACAAAAGATACCAAATATATCTCACTTTCTATATGTACATCTCAATTGCCCTATGTTCATAATAAATATGTCATCTTCATATATCCAAGTTATCTTCCATCCTTAATTTATTTTCATTCCAAAACACTATATAATCCTCATTTAATTTCAATTTTTTTCTTTATTGCTTCCCAAATTTGTAGGTCCAAATGGACCTTTAAACTTCTTCTCTACAAACAATTGTTTTATAATCATCTTAGCAAAAACATAATTCTAACATCCTCCAACATGCTCACAATACTCTTAAATCTAGCTTCAACAACAATCTCATTAACTGTTTTACACATATTATTGTCCATAACATTACACTTCACATCGAGTCCGAAATGAGTCCTACACTAGTGGTTTAAGGGGATCTTCTCCAAATGCTCACTTGTATGAGTTTTAATACTCGTCTAATTTTTTTCAAATCTTATTCCAATTATTGTGTTGTAGTGTCTTTTGCAACACTTTCAGAATAGTTTGTCAATTTCTTCCTTTATATGAGTCTTTCTCTAGTTTGTAAAGATGTGTCTATCACATTTTTATATTCTACATTAGAGAACAACTATAAGTGTAATGGCCGGTACTCACTAATATAGAAATTTAATAAAAATTTAATATTAAAACCTATGTGAAAAATATCTTGAGAATGATAAATAATTATTGGAAATTGGGAGAGATATTTAAAATGGTTAAAATAGTTTTTCCATGCTTGAGAAATATTTTAGTGATTTTTCGATGTGTGAATAGTAGTTTTTGTATGAAATAATTAACTAAAGTATGTTGTTCATGCATGAAAAATATTTTGTTTGCCTAGAATATTTATTAGAGGGTGTTAGATTATTTTATGTGATTTTATGAATTTTTATATATGTTGTGAATATTTTATTGAATTTCCCATGTGTAGAAATAGTGCATTTAGAGATAAGGAATTAAATTAAGTGTCTTAGAAATATGAGAATATTTTTTAAGGGCATAGAAAAATCATATGGGATGTGTAGGAATACTTAGTAAATTTAAATTAATTTTATTAGGTACAAGGAATATTTTCTATAAGAAATAGTCTAATTTTCATGCTAAATAATTAATTTAAAGGCTTAAATGGGATCCAAAAATTATGAAAAATTAGGTTGAATCTTCTTAATAAATTTTTGAATTTATTTTGGAAAGAAATTAAAATTTTAAAAGGTATAGAATAAAATTTTAAAATTTGGGGGCTAATTGCATAGAAATTACGGACTAGATTGCGTAAAATTGAAAGTTTCAACTTTCAAATTAAAGTTGCTATAAACCTAAGGAGTTTAAAATATATTAAGATACCTTTAGGAGAAGGATTTAAAGTGATGGATTGGAAAATAGAAGGATGGTGGAAGGAGTAATTAAGAAGAAGATTAGGAAAATGAGGGACCAAAATTAAAGAAATTTCTAGGCTTCTCTTCATGGTTCCAGCCAAAATTTGGCTGTACGATTGAGCCAAAATTAATGCACTTTGACTTAAATAAAAAGAAAAGGCTATTAAGCATGCAAAAAGGAGGGATTAGGTTTAAAGAAAAATTAAAGGCTTAAAAATGATCCAATTGAGAGGTTAAGATTTAACCAAAATTTAATGGCCAAGATCACTCCAAAACACCCTAGTTCACTAGTGGAGATGGAGTCAAAAGTGCACGAAAAATTTGCCTATAAATAGGCATGCATAAAAATCACAAAACCTAAAGGAAACTCTTGCAAAATTTCCCTAGGAAACTCTCACCAAAAACTTACCAAAATCACTCCTACACACCTTGACTCAACACACTAAGTAAGAATATCAAGCTAAGAATTTAAGAAAAATTCAAGGGAGAAAAATGGAGGTTAGGTCGAATTTGAGGGAAGAAGAAGGAAGGAGAAATTCCCAAATTTTTTACCTTTTGAAGATTAATTGGAGCATATCTAGGTAAGTTAATCTCACCTACATCATAAGAATGTTAAATTTTAAGTCAATTTCATGTTTAATTCTTTGATTTTGTTTTAATTACTAAATTAAAGAAAAATTAGGGTTAGGTTCTTGGTGACCCAAATTTGAGGGAAATGATTTTGAAACCATAATTCATATAATTAAGATGGAAACAAGTTAATTAGGCTTGCAAATTTAGGTTTAAATTAAAAAATTCCTAGGGGTAATTAAAGGTACCCATTCGGCCTAAATCACAAATTTGGGGGTTTTTAGTGCTTTCATTTAATTGATATTTTAGCAATCAATTCTGACTTAGTTAAGCATCAATTAGTGTTTAGGAATGAAACTTTTCATTTTAATTGAAGAAAAATCCCCTAATTTTTAGGGATTAAATTCGACCTAAACTAAGAAATTTAAGGTTTGAGTTTCAAGCAATTTATTTCTGATTTGGTGGGTCATACACACTTGCATAAGCATGCTTGGATGAATGGAAGTGGAAAATTTGCTAAAAATGAAAGAAAATGGGTTTTATGGGCCTAGAGCCAATTTTGGCCCATTAAGGCCCAATACGGGTTTGGATAGGAATTCGGGACCCAAATTTTAGTAAAATTGATTATTATAGTTAGTAACTATTTAGGCTACTTATTGTTAAAATGGTAGGACAAAATGAGGAGGAAATATTAGGATTCTAAAGAGGTCAAGTTTAG